AACAGCTGTCGTGTTGCCTACCCCTGAGTTAGAGAATGGCTGCACCTGCAAGGCTTCTCAGACATTTGGATACCCTAAAGATAATCTTAAGAGATATCTAAACTGCAGAACAAAAATGTAATATATTGCAGCTTACCAGTGGCAGCACTAGCTTTCATTTATTAGCCCGAGTACATTGTACTGCAAATACAGAAAAATACCGTATTTGCCTGTGCACTGAATTGAAATATCAAACAATGTTATTAGCTTTCCCAGCTATTGCCTGAACTACACAACTCCTCTCACCTATGTAACAGAAAGGAGTTGTTCGTAGTCCAAATCAGGGACACACCACTGCTCCTCCATAGATACCGTACAGTGAGTGAGCACTGGCTTGCAGCATTGGGGGTCCACAGTTCAAATCCTAGTCAGGACACTGGAGATTGGATGTTCTCCTTGTGCTTACGTGGGTTTCCTCCCACACTCCAAAGACATCCTGGAAGGTAATCAACTCCCGTGTAAATAGGCCCTGTACTGTATGTGTGAGCAATAAGGATTAAGATTGTAAGCTACTGAGTCCAGGGACTGGTGTGAATGTTCTGTATGTAAAAGCACTGACATTATATATATAAATCACACACACACAAAGTAATAAATAAATGTCATCCTAGGGCTAGAAGTGTGTTACTGGCAGAATCATCAGGTCAGGGCCGGCCTTAGGTCTTTAGGCGCCCTGTGCGAGAAAGCTTTACAGCGCCCCTCAGTGGCCACACCCTTTAGTGACCACACCCCTAGTAACCACACCCATTTAGTACCCATATTTTTGGTAAAATATAAAAAGCGGGGTCACGTCGGGAAAATAGACAAACATGTCATCTGTGCGGCCGCACTGCTCGCACACCCCTAAGGCCGGCCCTGCATCAGGTGAAAAAAGTGATCGAAAGCCTGAGAAAGAAAACCAATGCAGCAACCACATCTAAGAATTAGCAAGCCTTAATATATTACACATTTTTAGATAGGGTTGCATAAAGTAAAGTGAGCGAACTTTGACTAACACAGCTGCAGAATCTGCTGGGTAGGATCAAGAGTTTAACCATAGACTGTGGACAAGGGGCGAAAGGGTACAAGAAAGCCAGTCTAGGCCATCACATAACTGCAGTCCGTTGGCCCCTCTGAACAGGAAGCAAACTGATTGTATAATTATGGCTCTCCCTACAATGTATAAAGCTGATAGACCTTAAATGCTGATAAAGTTTGGAACAAGTATCTCATCAGAGAGCAAATTTCGCATTACTAGCACTCTGGTATTACGTGCGTCTCTGAACGTTAAGATTTTACTGTTACCCAGCAGTTCTCATTCTCCAGTTAGGCGGAGATGTGCAGTGTACAATAACAAAGAAGCGTGCCAAAATAACACTCGTGAGACACCGGGTCCACCACAATAATGACGGCTAAATAAACAACGGAGCATGCAGATCAGAAGAATACTCTCCTGATAGTTGCAGCAAAAGAAGATGACCGCGAATGTGGAAAATCCAAATCCATACGATTATCTGACTGGGCTTGGAAAAAGCAAATCCTTTTGACCTCTAGACCCTGGAGAGCGGTTGACCTTGCTAGCTTCAATCCTGACAAATGTGAATGTGCTCAATATTGTGCTCTTGTATAGTCTGCAAACAGACACCCAGAAAGGTTCTCAGCACTTATATCCATCAAGGTGCCCACAAATCAGTGTGACATCACTTAAAGAAAACAAGCAAAATTGGTTCGCTTTAATCTCCAACCCCTTCCTCGTAAATTCCTACGGTACCTTTCCTTTGCTCCCCCATCCCCACGTTCAGCACAAGGCCTCGTACTTTCAGGTATGGAGGAGCATGCAACTCACTCTGTATCAAAGTTCTGTCACATATGGAGTCCATGGCTTTGTGTAAGCAACGACTGATTTCAGGTCGCTTCTGATATCTGTTTGAGATGCACTGTGTTGTGTGACAAGGCATTTTTACCTTGCATTTTTACATAACGCACACCAATGTACCTGCATGGTGTGAACAGGGAACATAGAAAATTACTTTTTGTGCCCTTGCATGGCGTGCAAGTTGACCAATGCTGTGACAAGTCCTAAATGGCCTTCAGTTGGCACATCTTAAAAGTAGTCATGATAATGAAGTTTCTACACTGGCTGGACATAAGAGTACACAAAATGTATTTAAAAAGGTTCCCTAAGCTGAAAGCTCACCTCACAGTACCAAACAGCAGCACTGAGGGCTTGTTCACACCATGTCCAGACCAGAACAGTTTGTTCTGGTCTGGACTATAGTGTCTGGACACTATATTTACAAAAGTATTGGGACACCCCACCAAATCATTGGATTCAGGTGTTCCAATCACCTCCATGGCCACAGGTGTAAAAAAAAAAAATCAAGCACCTCGGCATGCAGACGCTTCTACAAACATTTGTGAAAGAAGGGGTTCGCTCTCAGGAGCTCAGTGAATTCAAGCGTGGTACCGTGATAGGTTGCCACTTGTGCAATAAGTCCATCCGTGACATTTCCTTGCTCCTAAATATTCCACAGTCACCTGTTAATGGTGTTATACCAAAGTGGAAGCAACTGGGAACAGCAACTCAGCCACGAAGCGGTAGGCCACGTAAAATGACAGAGCGGGGTCAGTGCATGCTGAAGCGCACAGGGCGCAGAAGTCGCCCTGAGTCAATAGCTACAGACCTTAGATTGGCACAACAACAGTGCGTAGAGAGCTTCATGGAATGGGTTTCCATAGCCGAGCAGCTGCATCCAAGCCTTACATCACCAAGTGCAATGCAATGCAAAGCGTCGGGTGCAGTGGTGTAAAGCACGCCGCCACTGGACTCTAGAGAAGTGGAGACGTGTTCTCTGGAGTGACAAATCACACTTCTCTGTCTAGCAATCCGATGGACGTGTCTGGGTTTGGCGTTTGCCAGGAGAACGGTACTTGCCTGACTGCATTGTGCCAAGTGTAAAGTTTGGTGGAGGGGGATTATGGTGTGGGGTTGTTTCTCAGGGGTTGGGCTTGGCCCCTTAGTTCCAGTGAAGGGAACTCTTAAGGCATCAGCATACCAAGACATTTTGGACTTTGTGGGAACAGTTTGGGGATGGCCCCTTCCTGTTCCAACATGACTGCGCACCAGTACATAAAGCAAGGTCCATAAAGACATGGATGAGGGAGTTTGGGATCGAGGAACTTAGAGTCCTGACCTCAACCCGATAGAACAGCTTTGGGATGAATTAGAGCGGAGAACGCGAGCCCGGCCTTCTCCTTCAACATCAGTGCCTGACCTCACAAATGCGCTTCTGGAAGAATGATCAAACATTCCCATACACACACTCCTAAACCTTGTGGACGCCTTCCCAGAAGAGATGAAGCTATTATAGCGGCAAAGGGCGGAGCCAACTCAATACTGAACCCTACGGACTAAGACTGGGATGTCATTAAAGTTCATGTGCGTGTAAATGCCGGCGTCCCAATACTTTTGGCAATATAGTGTATCAATATAGTGTACATAAAAGGTATGGAGAGCAGTGAATTGGCTGAATGCAGCCACCAGTTGGATGTCATCTATATGGGAAAGAAAGTGTGGTTGTAATAGGCAGTGAGGACACATCGTTTTGAATTCCTTGAGATAGATCTACACACACGAGCAAGCTTTATGGCCAATCAGGAAGCCAGGCGGCATGTAATGACTCGCCGCTCGGCTTCCTGATACCGGAAGTTACTGTATCGATGAATGTAGTATGTCCAGCGCATATATACATATACAACCGGCCTATAATTGCAAATCCTATTTTCTGTGTAGTTAAAAAACAATCAGTTTCAACAATACAGTTCTTTCACATATTGTTTAATTTAAATATAAAAATTAAATTGAAACTGCACAAAGAAAAACAAAGAAGCAAACCGTTATAACATACTTATAAAATGCTTTAATAAATAGTTTTTTGTTTTTTTTTCTGAACCACTTTAAGAACATGTCAAACAAAAAAACGCACTAAACATAACTAACATCCTGCTAAGCGATTCCGGCATTGTGGTATAAAATTATTTTCAAGCATTCATGTTCATTGGCCAAAAGTTTACACCTTTAGATAACCACCTACTCTAGTGGTGTTAACTGTCTGGATGTTTAAACAGCACGTTGGGGGAGAGAGTAAAACAAAAAGCAAATTTGCCCACTTGCCCTTTTGAAAACCGTAAAGCCTTTAAGATTAAAAAAAAAAAAAAAATTACAAAAATAAATGCTCAAGCTTTACATTCCAATGACTATTTTTGTGAGGTAACTCAATCTTGACTTTACCGACTTTTAGTTGGAGTGGAAAAAAAAACCTTGACGTTTGGCATCACAGACATTTTTTGTTTGATTGAAGACAACAAATATCTTCTTTTTTTTTTTAAACCAGAACAAGGGCTCATGAACATTTCTATATACTATTTACAGATATCTATGCCAGGTCACAACGTAGGTACAAGCTGAACAAATGTCTCACGCAGATTATTAACTTTCCTTTCTGAACCTGGACAATAAAAAAAGAAAAAAAGGTCTCCATCAGTCCTAAAACCTGCCTTCTGCAACATAAATTAAAAAGGAATGGCATTGTAAAGAACAAAGTCCCTTAAGCCACAATTCAGGAATCTTGGACTTGCAATAATATTGCTCCTGGTAAAAGACTCATAAGGCAAAAATCTTCAGAAACCAATACTAGAAGCAAAAAGTGGTGTGCGGTAGCAGGCCATGGACATCTACACCACTTTGTCTGGACAAAGCGGAAACACTGCAGTTTACAAGACAAAAAGACAACAGTTCAGCTCAAGAGACAAAAAAAAACAAAAAAAAAAAAACAGCTTGTAAACAAATATACAATTTTTGCGTAACAAATTTTACATAATAAAAAGGAACCAAAAATAAAATACATAGAACCTTTGTCTCCTCTTGACTTAAAGAGGACTTAAAGCAAACTTTATAAAAATAGCAACTATCAAAGAACATTTCTTTTTTGTCTTTTTTTGTTGTTGTCACAAATAACTTATGTAGAAAGACTACAACAACAAAATAGAAAAAAATAACTTTTTTTTTTACATAAAGAAATTAACAGATTAACAGAGTCCAGATTTTAGTCCGGAACTGTACGTCCAGATGAAAAAGGGGACTTTGGTGGATATTGCCAGGCAAGAACCCAAAGACCCCCGGGGTAGTGGTAGAAGGACCAATTTCTCTTATTGGAGATGAATTCTGTCACTCCTTGTCTTATTCCTAGCTTAGGCACAATGTCCTTTTTCTACAGCTCCGGCTTTTTTTTTCCTTCAGTGGGGGGCGTTCACATTTTTAACACAGGTGTTAACCTTTTTGTCGTAGTCTGTCCGATGCGGTTTTTTTACAGCGGAATTTTTGGAGCAGTCAGCGTCTCCTATGCTTATAGAAGTCTTTGAGTATTTCTCTGAGAGGCACTCATCCTCCCCTGTGTCCTCCTCTTTATCCACCACATCCTCTTTCATCGCCTCATCAGAGGCAGAAGTTCTGTTTTGGTTGTAAAGAAGGTTTTTGCATTCATATTGAATGTCTCTATAAGGCACCCCAATTGGGTTCCAAATTGGGTTCAAAGGCTGACGTTGGTTGTTTGTTTCATTTTCGCGGGTTTCCCGCCTTCTCTCTCGCTCTTTTCTTCGCTTTCGCATCCACCAGACACAAATGATTATGCATGTTACCCAAACGATACCAAACACAACGCAAAGCACTGGGACAAGATAATCTACAGTAGAAACAAAACAAAAAAAAGTTAGGCAACAGATGTGATGAGGGTTTGATATCAACCAGGACAGAAGAGGTTCAATGAAATGGAGCACCCAACACATATAGGGGTCTATATACCTAAAGCTATTAAGTAAACTGAGTAAAGGCGATGTGATTTTTTTTTACCCCTACAGAGTCACAATCACTATAGGACCAAATGTTTGGACACCTGATTAGAGCTATAGGAGCTTTTTGAACATCTCATTTCAAAAACATGGGCATTAATTTCCAGCTATAGCGGCCTTTCAAAAGATTTTGAAGCCTGTAGGAGTCGATGTCTTCAGTCAATAGAGCATTTGTGAGGTCAGGTAGACCTGGCTCACAATTGGCAATCCAATTCATCCTAAAAAGGTGTCAGTGCAAGCTACTCTAGTGCCTCCACACCAAACTGGTCAAGCAATGTCTTATGGATTTGGTTTTGTGCACCTGAATCCAATTTGTAGCAGTCTCCATCTATTTTGATCAGTAATGTTACTTTAGAGGTTCCATTACTGGACATCTTCAAAGTATATATTAATATATTTACAGATGCAACCACAAATTCATTAAAATAGGCCCATCTAAAAAGAAAAAAAGCATCAGATGCCCAAAAACATGGGGCTGGGCACTTTCAGAGACTATAGAAACAGTAATTCTATCACTTTAGTTCTGAATATTGGCCAACATCACTTCATTTAATTGGACAGTTATCAATGGTCATGAAGTGATCACCACTACATCTAGTTGAATTATAATGGCTGCCATGGCCTGTGGACACCATTAGTTTGACATTGGGTGGGGCCAGCCAATTTCAGGGAAAATATTCCTGATGGGTAAACCATAAACCGGCATGCATGGAAGATATTTGGCAAGATCCTTCAGAATGAATATGTCTCCGTGTTATAGAACGCCGCAGTACTGAGCAGCCATGTCTGGATTGCCGACATCAACAGAATCTTTAGTTCAGGAATATGTAGATTATGCTGAAGTCTACTCCCATAACGCATGTGCTGTAAGCCATCTGACCCAATGCCGGGTTGAGGTCACATGCCCTGGATCCAGATCAGCATTGGGATCTTATTAGAGTGGACAGGTAAGTTTATGTTTATTCTAATACCCCTTGACTATATTTGCTATTGCAGATCTACTGCACAAGGAGAAATCTTAGTACTTTATCCAAACATTCTTGTGAATAGTATTAGCAGGTCTCTGACAAATTAACAAAGGTTTACTTGTCCTTCATGTAAATAATGGAGGTTACCTACCCGAACTTGAGCCATCCACCACAACGGTTTCAACTTTCACTTCCATGATGGCCTGCATAACCGTACTGTTTTGCCTTTTGGTGATGGCATTGACGATTGTATTGGCAGCGTCTTGAATAAGGCTCTTGTCATGACTATCAGTTTGTGAGACAAACGCCTGCAAGAAAAAAAACAAAACACCTTGATATAACACATGGAGCAAAGGAATTATCTGTGCGCCTCTACAATTGGACATACTACATTCATTTTAATTCCATACGTGTGCACCTATGGAACTCAGACTCTCAATAAGCAGGACTAAAAGTACACCGCATTGGGCTGCTTGGCTTAGTCAATAAAATATTGGAGCTGAAGGCAAAAAGTGCCGTACCCATAGCAAAACTGACTGCATTGGTTTTAGTAAAGAGAACTCTAATGAACTGCCCATGGTTACTTCATTCTGCACCTGTGCCCAAACAGTGGACATTATATCTGTTAAAAAATAAGTAAAAGCAACTGGACTTGCTGTATTTTTCTTGATGTTTCACTGGTCATCCAGCTTTCTCAATTCAGAATGACTTGTACAAACATTCTCTGGGAATAAATATGGTGAATGTTGCTCCAATCCATATAATCTTTTAGTGGCAACCAGGTGTTGATTGTATTTGCATAATTGGAGTCTAGATGTTAATAACCTGCCCAGAGAGGTGTTGAAACAGCATTGTATGTGGCAGACAATAGATGTCTCACCCCCCCCCCACCTCTATTCAAGCTTGGCGCCTCCATTATCCCCATAAATGGCCTCTTTCACACCTCTTTTGAACCAGTACTCCTCCCTGTCTAGGACGCACACTTGACTGTTTTCAAAAGGAGTGACCTTTTTCCTTTAGGTGTAGGTACACTGCCGAATCCTGACCAGAGGGTTTGGCTCTAATGCCACCATATATATTCCCAGATAATTTTTGTACAAGTCATTGAGAAAGCCGGTTGAAAAACCAGTGAAACATCTTCACGAAAAATACAGCAAGTCCCGTTGCTTTGACTTATTTTTCTATTTTTTACAGACATACCATGGCCTGGATGAAGGAGAACCTTCACAGACACAGTGGACATTATATTTGCATATCCTTAAGCAGTAGAAGCACGTTAAAACAAGTTATTCCTGAACTCTGTAGCTGCTTGTAATGTGAAGTAATTTGTTCTCACAACAAAAACTCTAAGGTCCAGTTTCAGTTAGCTTTTAACAGCTTAGATCAGGGGTGGGCAAACTCTGGTTCTCCAGTTGTGCTTTAACTACAAATCCCAAAATGCCTCTGCGTTTGGGAGTCATGCCTGTAACTGTCAGTCTTGCAATGCCTTATGGGACTAATAGTTCCACAGATACCCACCCCAGCTCACTGTTTACATTATATATAGAATTACATCTGTGCTACATCAGTGGTGTTTGATACCTTAAAAGCCCTTACCTTTGCCGCATTAGTATACATTCCCTGTTTACATTAGAAGTTTGGCAGGCTGCCAAGATTCTACTAAGATTTTAGTGCCTCTGTTGTGAAATCTGAAGACACATTACCCCACAGCTCTAATAACTACAGAGTTAAATGAGGGTTTGTTTTAAAGTGTCTAGAATATGTAAACATTTAAGTGTTTACATCAGGGGTGCCCATTAGGTCAATCGTGATCTACCAGTCGATTGCAAAGCGAACACTGGTAGATCGCATTCGGCTCACTGACCTGTGTCCTGTCCTCCCAAAGTGCTCGTGCGGCTGAATGTGTCAGACGCCGCAGACGGAAAGGGGTGGGACACCTCTCCACGTGTGTAACGTCGGCCACATTTGGTCACACGAGCACAGTGGGAGGACGCTGGCGCACGAGAGGAGACCTGGGAAGCTGCTGCAGTGGAGGTAAGAAAAGACAGACAGGAGAGAGAAGAGAGACAGCAGAGAAAAATTGTGGCCGCCTCTTGTTTACGTGCATCACTTTAGTCCGGGTAGCGGTTCACTTTCACTCTTGGTTACAATAGCTTCTTAGCTGGTTTCCAAGAGATTGAATTCTTAATCTTTTGGAATGTACCTACAATGCATTTTTTATCAAAGAAGGAGTTCAATGCTACATGCAAAGAAATGTGTATGCTGTGAATTTTTTTTTGAAAGCTTACATACATATGTGACACAAAAACAGAAATCTTAATGACTATAACTTTGTAAAATAGCGCAGCCACCTTTGTACTGAACAAAAAGCATACTTACTACTGCAACTTCTACTGCTTTTTCCGTTGAGTACGAGAAGTCGCACAGGAGTATAAGCTGTTGGTCTTTTGATACTGTCCGAATGGATGGCAAATATCGGATCTCCGAGCAAATGTTTTCTACTGTGGTTCCCTTAAAATATAGAATAAGAAGTCAATAATGGTTTTACATCAACTTCAATTTATCAAGACTGTCTTTACACTGCGAGCTTACATTAAGCTAAACTTCAGACAAAAAGCTATATACCAAAATGAAATACATATATGGGAGCCTGCCAAAAGATTTGTATTTCTGTCCATCCAGTTTTGAGATTAAGCAGCACTGCCATACAGGATAGACATATATGGCAGGGCAGGAGACCCTATTTTTTCCCTGCGGCAGTTACACGAATAGATCTTGCGACGAGGCAACATACCAGAGTTGAAAACAAAGAGGAACACATTTTTACCTGTGGAATTTTCTCGGTACTGAAGATTAAGGTTATCCGGGCACAGTTATTGTCCAAGTAGCCGGTGTTGGGCAAGCATTTGACAATCTGAGGCCTGTCGGGGGCGCTGCATTCACCCCATTCTCTGCATGGTGGTTGGAGGCATTTTGCAGATGAGAACTTCGGCTCACATTCCTGATCTTGGGGACACTGGCTCTTATCAGGACGTTTTTCCGGCAAACAGGGCTTACGGCCACACCAAGTCTGGAGGCACACAAGAATATTACATTAAATGTATGAAAATAGAACTAATATACCTTCAACTATATGCTCACTGTGAAATCCCAACGCAAAGTAGATTTTTAGCATGTTGCAGCATGCAACTTAAAATAGAACTAGTCACTATAGTGTTTATGGAAGAATTTGAACATTCAGCATTAAACTGTGTATCAGGGCAAAGTTACAAACAACCCCCCCCAAAAAAAAAAACACATAAAACACTAAACCGCTGCAATGTATAAACATGTTCCCACTGCGTGTGTGGCGACCTCCATTTTTATGCACTGGATCAATGCAGGTCAGAGCAAGGGCACAGAATGTCTGCATTTGTTTTTGAGAACTGGGCCGAGTCTTTGCATCCATACCTTGGTACACTCAATAGCCCCATCCAGACAGTGACAGATATTGCATTCCTCATCCCATTTGCTTCCGTGAGGGTACTGTGTTCCTTTCAGCCAACAAGATCTTCCAAAGCCAATCACTAAAAAACAGCAGGAAAGAACATGTCAGACAACAGGACGGTTCAGATCTGCTGCCAAACTGTCCATATAAATGCTTAGAGGAGTCCCCAGCACTTAAGCAGGATACGGGAGAGCTAATTACCTTCCTGGCAGCGCAGCCCAGCTCGTCCTGAAGGGCAGGTGCACTTGTAGCCATTTATTTCATCTATACAAGTGGCACCGTATGCACAAGGGGAAGACTGGCATTCATCGATGTCTACAATAGATAATAACAATAATATGAGCGATGCTTGGCAGAGTTCAGTTGTCAACACAATACACCATGATCAAACATGGCTGCGTCAGCTCCATTTATAGTACAAAGTGTGCAATACGCGGCAATGGCCTTTTTCAAGTGCCACACAGCTGCTTAGAATGATATATTTGATCTCTACTGCTGTTTGTTCGTAAAGTACACAAGATGCACATATTATGTAGTTTTACCTCTAAATAGGTACTGTGTACAAAAAGGACATGAATACAGCTGGAACTTCACAAAACACTTAAAAACTGAAGGGACTGCAAAAGTAAACATGCAGCTTACAACACAGAGTTACAATGCTAATTCCTGTTTGGAATATCATCACTTTCTGCCATTTATTGTGCCTGGCTAAACCCACATTAACGCTGAACTCCAGGCAAACGGCTAAATACATATACAAGTGGTTTTACCTGTCAAAGGATTTACATTTCTCCCAGACATCATAGCCAGGCTGAAGACACCCCTTTCTCTGTTACAATTAGGGAATACTCTCCTGACATCAACTGGGCTCAGCTTCTCAGCTTGCTGATTGGATAGTGAATGAGCAAGAGAAGACTGATCACCTCTCTGCTCTCATTGCGATCTTCCCTATCAAGTTCCTTGTTCGCATATTTGCATGCAGCTCACCAGATTGGCACTTAGTGCTGCACCTCCCTCACCCTATCTAAGCTCTGCTGTACAAAGGTTGTAAGAGGCAAATCTTTCAGGTAGATGAAAGTAGACTTATAGCTTTAACTCCACTGCCCTTCTTTCTGTAATTCCTAGTTATAAGAAGACTTGAAATACTGATATTGTAACAAACCCTCAGAGTTCCTACCACAGCCAGTTGCATAAACATGTACAGGTATCGGTCATATGACCGCATCTGAACAGGTTCAGGGGATTAATATTTGGCCAGAGCGGTTTCTGAATGCGGATTCTATTATTCAGCTAATATGTGAAGAATTCAAGAGCATATAGCATGTGAGAGATTGCTGTAAGAGAATGAAACAGCCTTTTCTGCAGCATTTCTTTTAAAATCTATGGGCACATACCGTGTTTCCCCCGAAAGTAAGACCTACCCCGAAAATAAGACCTAGCACTATCTTCAGGGATTTCTGTAATATAAGACCTACCCCGAAAATAAGACCTAGTTCGGTGGTAGGTCTTATATTACAGAAATCCGCTAGGTCTTACTTTCGGGGTAGCTGCAGATAAACTGTCTAAAGACCGGCCGCAGCTCCCGCCCCACCCACACGCCAGCCTCCCGCAGCTCCTGCCCACACGTCAGCCGCAGCTCCCGCCCACAGCTCGCTCACGCCCGCACGCACGCAGAATGGAAGCGACATCCGCCGGGAGCGGCAACAGCACGCCGCCTTCCGGGACCTCATCCACTCCTCCCCCAGCCAGGTAAGACATCCCCGAAAAGAAGACCTAGTGTCTTATTTCGTGCAAAAAAAAAAGACAAGTGTCTTATTTTCGGGGAAACACGGTAGGAGTTCTTTTGCTACAGGCCCAATTGAAATGGCGCCACAACTGGTGCCTTGATATCACTGGTTTGACAAATTGTGTCCCAACCATGGACAAATGGTAACATTTCTAAATCTCTTTTACAAACAGAACTCGCGCAGATCGCAAGGCGCACAGCTGCCATGTCAGCAAGAGAAGAGAAAAGCAAGTGTCCTTCAGATTTTATAGGAAATAGAATTCTAAGAATAAAGAATAACTTACTAATCCTGCAATCAGGTCCAGCGAATCCAGGTGCGCATTCACAGCGAAACCAGTTCACACCATCAACACAAATTCCACCATTGTAACTGTTGACAGATAAAACACAGTTTCTAATTAACTGTAGACATCAACAAAATCCAACTTGTAATACAAGATTGCATACATAAAGCAACATGTAAAAGATACGAATTAGACTTCAACCCTTCAATTAACTTGGGTTTTAGATCACTAGCAAGTAATCAGTACAATATATCAGATCCAATATGGATGATCAACGTGCCAACAGGCAAAATGAGGTTCCATTGATCCAGCTAGTGATGGCTATGCAGAATTGATCTTAGTCTTTTTACCTTGCAACCACAGCAGACATCTCCAGGCTAGGGCCAAAGAGAGTGGCTGGACTGCACGTCTCTCAAGCAAATCGCTAACGACTGGCCCCCTAAAAGAGTCTCTTCCATAAGCCAAAACTGCACATTTGTAAAAATCCACGTTCAGTAAAATAAAAAAAATTAATAAAAACCATCAGTGCATGGATCCCTTCCTGATTGGAGCAGTATGGATTGGTTGTCACTGCTGTGACATCCAATCTGTCCTGTTTTTTCCTCAATCTTGCAAACGGACACCCGTTTCTTTAGCTGTCTATTTAAATCCAGCTGCCCATAGACTTGCATAGGCCATCCAATCAGGCCGGCCTGAAAAACTGACTGGAGGACCTGATCGGACCCGCCTGCCTGAAAGGGGCCTTACCCAGCGCAGCCAATGAAGATTTACATGATTACTGCCACTGCATGTTTGCAATCTAGGCCCAAATTGGTGAATAATGGTTTTAAACCTCAGAATCCACTATACAAGGTAGCCCCAAGGGTCAGTATGTGAAAATGTAATGGACAAGATGAAGCTCCCTTCAATACATGAAATGGTAGCAGTGGTTGATCAGTACAATCTAACGAACAGGTATATATACTCACCATGGGTAGGGATTGCAATCATTGGTATCTATTGAAAAGAAAGAAAAATAAAAAAACATTCAGCACACAAACATTAAAAGTAAAAAATATACAGTATATTTGACTGAGTGATATCTGTTTGATCAGCCCTGCCCATGGTTTGATCTCTGTACTGTCTTATGATGCAGCAGAAAAACAGCATGTCAATTTATTATAAAAGCTAAATGGCGGAATTCACTAAATGTTCACATCCTGGCATTAGGATCTACTTTATTTGTATAGAGCTGACAAAATCCTCCCGACTAAAGCAATTATAGCTTAAGATAATAACACGGCTGTCTTTTTCTTCATAGTATTTTACAATCCAGTGTTCCTATAATGGACACGTCTCACCCAAGTTATCCTCAACCGCATAAATGGTAGTTTTACATTTCTAGACCTCCTCCAAATCTGTAGCTATGCTTTGGGGTATTTAATGGTGGGCTTAGTCAACTGCTGATGTATCAGGCCCCACTGGGAAGATTTTACTGTAGTAGATTGCATCTCTTGCCATAATAAAGCAGCTTGTGGGATTAGACATTTGAATCATATGTGTTCTCTGCATTCCAAATAAATCTACTAGGCAGCGACATCATCTGACTGTACAGTGCTTGCAGCAGTTTGCTGAACAGGGGATTCAGGTGGGATGCCACTTATGTACTCAAAAAATACAAAGTCAGAATGGGATTCATCCCTAGAAAGTACAAGTCAAAACCCACTAGAGGCTCTTAGGCACAATATGACATATTCCTTTAAATCCGTGGTAAAGGAACAAGTTATTAAAAATGGTACAAAAGGGTGAAAAGCAAGCCACATCTCAAGCTCTATATAAATGCTCGTGTATCATCTGTCCTCCTTAGGTCTTCTGAATACATAAACACAAGCTTCTTTTTCATAGCCTCCAGCCATCTCCCATCCCAAATGAGTCAAATATGTTGGCAAATAAATGAAGGATAAAACATGTTAGGAGACACACCTATACCTAAAGGAACAAAAAAAAGCACAGGCTTACTCTGCGTGCAGGTACGTCCCTCCCAACCTTCTTTACACATACAAGAGAAGGAATCTCCGTTGCCCACGCAAGTACCACCATTTGCACAGGGGTTGGGAAGGCAGCTGCTGTTCTTGGCTGTACAGGAAGAGAAATATTGAAATGATTTTCATTTTTAATTTACTGCAAGTAGGTTGTGTTTTACAGCACTGATATTTTACACAACTTTACAACAAGGACATCAGATTTGGGGGCTCCTTTGCAAGCCGAGGGTAGCAATAGTCTGCATATTCTCTGTAGTCACACACATAGGCCTATCAGAATGGAAGCTAAATGAACCCATCTACATATGTTTGTTATGTGGGAGTACCCGATAAAGTTCAAACAGAAATAGGAAAAATATACAAACTTAATGTAGATAGAGTGTTGTCCCTGGAAGCAGAAGAGCCTCCATGAGTACAACTCTCTATAGGAATGAAAGGGGCTGTAGTGCACATGAGCAGGATAAAGAGGGCCTGGTGGGGACACTTAAAGGTTGAGCAGCTCCGGGCAGTAAAGATAATTGGAACAGGGAGGAAAGAGGTAAATATTGGACCAGGTGGGATGCACTCAGGAGGCATGCCTTAAAAGACCTTTAAAATGTACCCAAAATGCTTTTTAAAAGGTCACCCAGAACAGCACTTTTTTGTGCTGTTCTGGGTGACATGGCATTTAAGGACAATATGGTAAACCGTAATTAAAAAAAAAAAAAAAAAAAGCTACTATATAGAAACCCAAGCATACAAAATAACACAACGAAATGTAAGAGATTAGAATAACAAAAAGAAAAAATTAGTTTGCGTCTGGCTTACAAACATCTAAAAAAAGAAGAAAGCCAGATTTTGGGTGAGGAAATAGAAGCACCAACTGTCAAATCAGAATCTATGACAATGTGCGGACAGATTCCAGTGGTCACCAATTTTAGTTTGCAAAATCGCACTTTTATTTAAGGCTGGATTTACACCGGTCTGCTCCGATATGTTGCATTAAAGAAACCCATGAAAATGAATGGGCTGCCACTGCTCCACAATGGACAAATAAGCAACGTACAAGTAGTGTGTTATGTTCACTGATGCACAGTGCATCGATAAGGTGCAATTAAGAATGCCATGCAGCACACTTTACCAAATTGTATAGGTGTGAATCCAGCCCAAGACAGTGTGATCGAGCTACCTCCATCATTGACAGATGTCTCCCCTGTAGTGACCACACCACCTACCACCATCACCCACAGCAAAAGTCTACAAAAAGGTTTAATTTCATGGGACCCCATTGGGAAACCACAAGTCTTGTTCTCACCAATATTACAAGTGGCTCCTTCCCATCCTGAAGTGCAAAGGCAGTGGAAGGTGTCTCCGGTATCGTAGCATGTACCCCCATTACTGCAGGTGTTTGAATCGCACTGGTATTCACCTGTGAAAAGTACATAAGAGTCAGTGAGAGATAGACACACACAGACACACTAAATGTGTAAGGCACTACTTAGTGCAGGTTGTATTCTAAAAACCATGAGTCAAAATGAAAGCATATCTAATTTCAAAAACCAAATTTGTTTTGAATTACCAGGTCTGGGATGCAATGGCTGCATTCATTTTCTTTTAGGCTTGTTTACTTTATTCTTACCTCGTAAGCCTGCAAATAACAGTCTCTAAACATCTACACTAATTTCTCCATTGTATCTACTGGGGCAGCCATGGTTATAAGAAAAGCTAGATTTTAAAAAGAGAACTATGGGGTAAGTGTTTTTCCCTATAGTTCTCTTTAGGGTCATGGGAGGACATATACTAACCTCCTCCTGTGACCCAAAGCTCAGTATAGCCTGCAATATACTGAGAGCGCCGCAGCCAGGACAGATCCTAATAAAACTGTCAAGATCCACCCAGCTGCATGAGTGACAGCTGGCTCTGCCTATCTAGAGGCAGAGCCAGCTGTGCCCGCCCCCTCCCCCGTTTGTTCCTCCACTCATCGCTGGAGGATCATGGAGAAGAGGAGGGGAATGCCTGCGGGGAGCGGTGACCGACAGTCACCACTCACTGCAGGGAGACTAGCGGGAAGTGAGCAGGTCGGCTGCATGTTTCTGCTCACTTCCCAATCGATAGGGCTGATCTGTGACAAAGAAGCGTGTCAGTCATTTATGAACAGAACCTGAAAACTAGCTCAGTCATGAAGGGGTTAAATTACTAGTCTCCTCAAACCACCATGTAATGGAGTGGAACAAAGGCAGACATGTTTAAAGAAAGGATTTTTGTGTTTTTCTTCTCAGCTCAGATTTTTGGCATAAACAGGTATTTGCTGTGCTTGATGTTTTAGGCCAAAATTGAATATGAATGCAGCCACCACACATAAGAACTAGCAAAACTACAATATATTACATTTTTGTTTTTGGGTTTAGATACAGTTTAAGGATGGCTTCCGTTGAAAAAGGTTGCACTGCCAATAACAAAAATCAATAAACATATTAAAAGAAACAAGAACTACGTACGTGAGTGACAGGTTTTGCCCTTCCATCCATTCTCACACTGGCAGACAAAATCGTTGACCAGGTCAATGCACCGACCACCATTCTGGCATGGATTGGGGTTACAGTCGTTGTAATCTAGCCAAAAATGTAAAAAGCGTTAAATAGCTGGAATAAAGGCCCAAGAGAACTATAGACACACACAACTAATGCCAACAAAAACACACAAGTTACAGCTTGTTAAACTAACAGACTGATCACATTATCAAAAGATTACATTCAGACTTACTTATGTCACAAAACTCTCCACCCCAACCGTTTGGACAAAAACACTTAAACGAGTCAATTTCATCGGTACAAGTGCCGCCATTCTTGCAGGGATTTCCAAGACAGTCATTTATGTCTAAAATAGAGGATAAAATGTTTAAGAAACCGAACATACAAATTGCTTACAAAATTATTGAAGGGTCAGTGCATCCAGAACTGATATTTACATTTTCGGTAGATGCAGGAGAGTTAAAACCACCTGATGATTTCCCTCTTAGGGACCCCACTGGTGAGATTTCTGCTCTTATATGGAAACTAAAACCAAACATTTTTAGGTTTTGGATAGGGTGGGGAAGGATAAGAACCCTTATTGAGATTTTTACCACTGTAAAAATCTCCAAATGTTTCACCCTTTTGTGAATAACCCTGTAAGTCTATTTAAAATTGGCCACCAACCCCCAGGACAAACAAGAAATGCTCATCCTTTAGTGGTTACTTGGACAGGTAGTCTAGGGTTAGTCTAGGACACGTATTCCGGGGGCAAGTGTATAAAAAGGGGTTTACCCTTATATTGGGGAAATGTCCTCAAACTTAATATGGTGTCCTTGAGACAAGTTAAAGGAAAGCTTTCCAAAGAAATGGACTGTATATTAAAATAAATACAAAGATGTTTTAGCCATTCCCTTCACTATGGGATATATCTCAGCTTTACATACACTTCCCAACTACCTGGGACTTCACATCTGTTGTGACCATTATGAGGGCTTCCCCACTCCCCTTGTTGAATTTTAGGACATACTTCATATTATGGGGAATGCAGCAGGAGGAGCTGGAACACCCGAAGGTGGATGGAAACCCCCAAACCTCCTCAGAAGACAGGAACTTTATAGGGAATTATGTTAGGGAAATTTTACTGTTGGAGATGCACACAAACCCAAAAGGGCTGATTCTGCTTACCAGGCTTCACCTATAGCTAAAATATATTGGTTCAGAGTGGACCAACTCCTTTCGGGCATTTGTTAGCACTATGCTAAAAATTTTCTATTAAGGTCCACATCAAATTTAAAATCTATAAAGATTTTGTGTTAATCTACCATTCCAGCTAAGCAAGCAACATTGATTCAGTCTTAAAAGAGGCTGAAAACAGGATGCCTGTAACATCTTTTTTGTTTTGCAGAAAGTGGCATCAAAAAGGAGTTACCCATGTATGGTCAGAAAGCCTGTTGACAGTCCCCAATGTATTGAGACACATTGTTTAATGTACACAAGAAATAATCTAAGTATTTGCTTTATTGCCATAAGAGGAAACTGGATGTTCCATTATCCAGAGTCGGATAGTGCAGTACTGACTCAAGTCAATGGCTCTCCTTCGCATGCTCAGAGGAAAGATGACACTCTCCCCATGCCGGAGGTTTGAAACCTGATGATCTTGAATGCTCTTTTTCACCCAGGAGTTAACCCTTACAAGCCCATGTGTCACAAGAGACGCTTCCATGTTTATTTATTAAAGGCATTTATATAAGACTATCAATTAACGCAGTGCTTTACATACTATACATTCACATCCATCTCTACCATTAAGGAACTTGCAATTTAAGATTTACAATGAAGTCATTTTACCAATTCTTGGTATGTAGCAAACAACGCACCTCAACACAATATAAGACAACACTATAGAAAACGTACATGCAGCAACAAAAAGTCCTCTGGACATAAAACTTACTCTCATGGCAATAGGCCCCAGTGAAGCCTCGGTTGCAGGAACAGGTGAAATTCCCTCCAGGCAGACTAATGCAGCGTCCGTGAGGCCCGCAGACATTGGAAGAGATGTAACGGATACCTTCCTGGGTGGCATTAGTAGAAATCGCTATTGTACAGCTGTCTATGACTAAAAATAAAAAAAAAGACGCATTAATGATACAGAGATCCTCGCCATAAGCTGTGAAAGGGTGTGCTGACAAAGAAATCCACAAGACGGGGGTTCTCCACTTAAAATTGAAATAGAAACACCACCACCATTTCTGCAGTGTATCCAGCATAGCAGTTTGTGCCCTGTTTTTTCTGCGCGCATCTACAAATATAACCATGACCCGATGGGAGAGGTTCCTCCTGAGACACAGACATCTGAATATTTGTTCCTGTTGGTGACAACTACTCCTCAATGCATCACATTTTAGTCGGCATTAACCAAAAAATATAATTAAAGCCCAACTGCTTTTTACGTTTTGAACAAAGCAGGGAGAATTTAACATTTTCAGGTTTTTATTCTCATCAGCGAGCGTTTTAGGGAAACACACCCTCAATTCCTGTCTCTGACACACTTACAAGAAATTGGGGGTGTGGTCATCACTGGGAAAGAAATAAAGACTTTGTCAGGAGTTCCAACACTTCCTCACTCTACCAGAATAGAATGTCCCTTTTGTTTGTATATTCCTTTAAGAGATTTCTCATCTTTTCTGGTCCTGACTGAGTTGTCCCAATAGTGACACAGATGGTAATAAAAACCTGACGGTTCTAACCCTTTCCCTCTCTATCCAAAATGAAATAAAACTTTTTGCTTGGAGTTGGGCGTAAAGCTGGAATGCAAAGTGTAGCTGAGAGGAAGGACATAGACATTTCCCACCATGCCAGCGGCCAGAGTGCCCTTACTACCCACTATGATTGGACAGGGAATAGCAGTAGATGTAATTACAGCATACTTGCAACAAAGTAGAAAGCAAATTGTATTTTTTTTCTGTGTAATAAAAAGAAAAAAAAAAGCTTAGGCCGGGCTTCTAATTTTTAAAGATTAAAATGGCCAACAGGTTCTTCAAGTGGGGCTTTTTCTGGCTTTGCACAGAGCCATGAAGGGTTAGAATCTGCCAGATCTCCACTGAGGTACCAGAGAAACAAGTGGAAACAAAGTCAGAAGAAAACTAAACCTTTTACAGTTGTCATCAGAACAGGTGTCTTTATGTTATTTTCCCCTCTACATTTGTTTGTGACAACAGCAAAATGTTAGATTTCAATTAGCTTTTTATTCTGAGAAGAGTGGTCACCAAAATAGAAAGTGATAGTGAATGTCTGCAAATCGAGACCCGGATATTAATAAAAACCTGATAGGACCTGTAACACTTCAATACTTAAATAAAAACTAGAAATAAAAGTTTAAGTAGGGTTCCAATAAACCACACCTATTGACACAAGTCATCTGCCAAAAAAATAATTCTACTCATTGCAATAAACTGATGAAACTGTGCAGGATTCATGCCTACACCCCTTTGCCATTTTATCAAGCAAAATGACTACAAGCCTGATGTGAAACTTTAGCTGGTTTACTGTAGAGGATGGGAATTAGTTTACTGTAAACTTTAGCTAGTTTACTGTAGAGGATGGGAATTTACTTAATGTTTGAAAAATACACTGAACTTGAAGTGAAGAAAATGATGTTGCATGTGAACATAAAATGCAATTATGGTATCCACTCACCTTTGCAAGATCCATCTTTGCAGTGATCTTTAAGATGAGAACAATTCTTTCCATCGAAATCATCAGAGCATGCACAGTAATAATCTCCACGTAGGTTGTAGCATGGGGCTTTATTCTGGCATGGGTTAGGGTCACACAAGTCAATATCGACCTAAAAGAGAAAAAAAAAAAAAAATTCTGCATCAACTAATAGTAACATATTGCTAGAAGTGTTAACAATTATTTCAAAAGAAATCCAAGCAAAAACAACAAGTCAGTATTTAGGGGAGTTGCATGACAATCTAAGTTTCAAGTTTGTAGACTTAGCCCTCGTTCACACCTGAACGTTTTGTAGCGCATTCTACGCTTGACGAACGCTCTACAAAACGCTCAAAAAAATAAATCCCATTGTATTCAATGGTCTCGTTCCCACCTTGGCGTATTTCCACCCGTTCCTAACGCGCTACAAAACGGCCCACGCCTGAAAAGGTACAGGTACTACTTTGGGCCGTTTTGTTGCGCGTTTCCATTGAGATACAGCCAAGTAGCCTTCGGAAACGCGCGACTTTTTACCGCGAATCGCGGGAAAAAAACGCGCGACAGACGCGCATATGCAATACGCCTAGGTGTGAACGAGACCTTAGAGGCTGCAGGAGATCAGGGCACCAAGATGCATGAAAGAATATAAATAAATACAACAAAAAAAAATAAGAAAAAGGTGAAGACAGGCATTTTGTTTTTAAAGAGGTTTGAAGCAAACAAAATGCCATGTCTAAACAGTAGGAGATTCTGCAGTGACCAAGGTAAAACCAGTTGGGTCATTAAATAAGACCCATTACAATTTCAGCCTTAGCTTCTAAAACTACCAGGGCCACCAATATGCAAATAAAACGATCTGAACCGACAACCAGAATTATTAAAATGTTCATCCTGCAATTAAACCCAAGCTGAAGAAAAAAAGTATTGACGCACAGTTCTAAATTTTCTTATCCTTTTAAATGATTGGCTTTTAGACATGGGGAACCCAACAAACAGATGAGTTAGTACTGCAGTGCATGTACGGCATGATATCAGTACGTGGAGATGTTTGCATTTAAAAAACACACTAGATTTTTTTGAAATTCCAAAAAATAAAATAAAAAAAAAACACCAAAATGTAATACATTTTGGAAGTTTTGGCACTGTCAAGCTTTCAAGGAGACCACTAGAGGATACAGGAACTAGTCTCCAAAACTTAAAATTAAAGTTTCAAAAACAAATCTCTAAACATTCCATTAACCGTACAATTTCCATACGGCTTGTATTTCACTGCCCGTTAATCCCAAACACAGAAATAGGGAGATAAAAATGGCCTGTGGTCAAATATCCAGGCAACCTTTTTGCTGTTGTTGTTGAGCTGGTGCAACTAGTCAGACACACAAGTTCCACTGAGCTATGCTCTAAAAGAAACCCCTCTATTTTAGTGAGCAGCAGGAAGGAACTAGATGCACACACACACACACACAAAAATAAAAAATTTAAACACATTACAACAGAAGGCAAGTCAGTTTCTACAGGTTGAACGTGTGTCTGCAGTCACCATTAGGACAAAAATGCCAAACTTAAACAAATGTTAAAACCATGTAAACCTTTAGGCAGTTATGTCCTTTTAAGGTAGTCCATCTTAATAAATGGCTTTCTACTTGTCCTGACTTTGGTTATTAAAGCCAGATACAGGAATCTGTCACAAACCTAAAAATGTTGCCGTTTTGATGCCTTGGAAGAGAAGAAAAAAAAAAAAGTTTGGAATTTTAGAATATTGAAATGGTGGATTTTGTGACAGAACTAGTACTTGCAAAAGTAGAGATTTGGTGCTGAAAAAATATGAATCACTATATTGTGTAGTTGTAGATGCAAACCATAAATGGACATTTCATTTGCCAACGCACAGTTTAAAAAAAAAAAAAAAAGTGCTTTATTCATATACAAAATACTGTTAAAAAAACGGTTTCATTTTTTGTTGCATATTAGCTCTGATTATCTCCCGCAGCCTCCGTCAACAAGCACTACAACGATGGCTGCATGAATTGTTTCAGGTTGGGTTTCTCGACTTAGTGGACCTAGGTGTTGGCACAGGTGCTCATCTCCATTGCAAGAGTGTATGACAGGGTGACAATGCAGGATCACAATAGGGAGAAGGAACAGAGGGTTGGCAACCACCAACAGGAAGTGCCTCAACAGGATCCTCATGGCAGGGTCACCAGTTACTTTTTCATTAAAACCTTACAAATAATCTGAAAAGCAGATAAGATACCGGTGTTTCATATACCACCCAGATCTTCATTCTTAAAAAGGTAGTGATCCACTATAAATAAGCCTAATACACACATAAAAAGGAAGTCAGAACAGGATGATCGAACTTCCAATAACTGAGATAAGAAGGTACAAGACCGCAGGCAGTCACAAAAGCCATACTTAATAGCTACATCCAGGCAACAAGTAAAAATCAACCAACTGCTATTGTTTTCCCCGAAAACAGCCAAACTGCAAAAAGATGAACTCTACCCATGTTGCCTTAATGTTCACTTCATGCAAGTCATTGCTGGCAGATTCGGCAGTCATTTCTCCACGATCCTTGATAGAACTAGTTTCTTGGTCACAGGATTCTCTGCAACCTCCCACTCAAAGAACCCCCAAGCATGGACTTCAGAATCTGGAAACAGGGTCCCTGTATCCACAGGTGCATATTTAGGCTTTAGAAAACAAAGATACTAGGCAGGCATCAGGACTGAGCAAACGAGACGGCTAAATAAAGAAGACGAAGGCCAGAATGAAAACCTTTAGCAGGAAAGCCCCACAAATCAGTTTTGATGCCACATTTTCATGTGACTGCATTAAAATATGGTTTTGTCATGAAATGACAGGCCAACGTTCCCCTTTTTTAGAGGACTTTGGAAGGGGGTGGGTATTGTCATATTCCATTTGCCTTATGTTATAAAAACCATATCCAGGATAAAGGGTTTCTTTATTCTAGAGCAAACAAATCTCCAAGCAGAGAGATTACTAAACCATTTATGACACTGTAGAGCCATACATGAAAAGAAACTTCCGCCAGTGAGAATGACAAGTCTTCCTATCTCCTAAAAAAGTGCAGTATAGCAGAGCCAGGCTGACACTTCCAAAATGAAAAATAGAGCATGAAACTTGCTGGCAACCAATCAGCTATCCACAGAACTTCTAAAGAAACTCTTGTTAGGCAGGGAAACCCATCCCTGCCACCTCCCTGATGGAAAGCAGTGCTGCTAATATACTGTTAATAATACACTTGGGGTTTCTGAAAAGAGATTTGGCAGGGACCTGGCAGACGTTTCTTTTTACAAACAACTCTTCTATTCTGAAACCTAAGGAACACTACGTTACAGTAGCAGTATACAGCTCTCCTACTATATACTTAAATGAATGGACTGTGGCCTACTAGAACAAGTGGCACATACTGAATAAGCGCTTCTCCAACTTTTATTTTAGGAAATGTAAAGGCCATTACAACTGTCCACCTGCTACCAGTGTTAGACACACGCTTTCTCAAGGCACTTGGATCTACAGCATACAAAGCAAAAGAAACAGTTGTTAGCCAGGTGGTTTTTATGCATTGCCAAGTTCTTCTTGATACAATAAAAAAGTGATTTGCCCCAGAGTGCCCTGGATTCACTTTTTCTGGATTGTGCGTTACCTTGGCTAAGAGCACCGAGACCCACTGCGGTGATTACACAGAGGAATAAGTGTGGGATCTCCAAAGGCAACCTCTTCTATATGCACAAGTCTTTTTTCCCTCCTGAGACACTGAAACCCTCTTTTGAAACATATTACTATATTAGGATTGCAGGAGAGAGATGATGCTGATGAAAAGTAGAGCCTCC